TTTACCATCGAAAGCAGCGCCAGAAGTTCTGGCTCTGCAAGTACTGCCACATACACAGAATACCTAGCGGCGAGTTCAACGTTGAGAAGGCTACTTCGTCAGCTATGGCTCACCTAGGGCGGCAACAGCGTGGCCACAGCGTTGATAAAGATGGCCAGATCAACTTCTCTACTCCAAACCAGACGTCAGTGTTGGCGACAATGCAGTTCCAGGGCATTAATGTTCCACAGGACGTGGCCAACAAGCTGGCGGACAGCTTCAATCGGGCGAAGTTTCTACGCGCTGTTCAACACTGGGTTGCTGATGATAATCAGGCTTTACGCGTTATTGAGAAGCCTGCCTTCCGCAGCATGATCGCTGCTGCTAGACCTATCGCCGAATCAAGCCTATGGAAGACCTATCGTACACTCCGAGAATCCATCATAGCCGAGTACAATTCCTATATACCCGCCGTGATTAAACACCTCCAGCAGGCGACTAGCCTCATCCACATATCATTCGATAATTGGACTTCAGTTGGCAACAAGCGTGCGCTTACTGGGATATGTGTACATCATCTAAACGAGAATGGCCGGCCAGAGGACTACTTGTTAGGCCTGCCTGTTCTTCTAGGCCAGCACTCAGGCAAGAACATCGCGGAGATAGTCAGCTCAACGTTACAATTGTTCAAAATTAATGCTAAGCGCCTTGGCTACTTCGTACTTGACAACGCCACAAACAACGACACTGCTTTAATAGCGATGGCCGATGAGTTCGAGTTCAGCATCTCCCAGCGTCGGTTACGCTGTACCTGCCATATTCTCAACTTAGCTGCCCAAGCAATTATATGGGGTAAGGATAAGGAGGCATTTAAGAGCATGGACGTGAATATACGGGTAAAATCACGTCTCTAATCTTATTGCTATTCTACATTGCGCTAACAGTAATATAGGAAGAAGAACTGCTGATGGCAGAGTGGAGGAAAGCCGGGCCTATCGGGGTGCTATTCGACGTTATATCATCTATTAGCGCCTCTCCACAAGCCCGAGAGCTGTTCATTAAGCTGCAGGCAGAGGACTTAAAGCGCCGCAACGAATCTTATAAACCAAAGGAGCTTATTAAGCCTGTCAGAACTCGGTGGAACTCTTACTACGATTGCTTTGAGCGCGCCTGCGAGCTCCAAGGCCCTCTCGACGCGTATATACACATGAAGCTCGAGGAATACAATATCGAAGCAGCATCTCGGCGCAAGGATACAAAGAAGGAGAAACCGCGGTGCTTTATCGAGGAGCGAGGGCTAAACGCAGGTAATTGGGCAACAATTACAGAGTATAAGCAGCTGCTTAAGCCGTTCAAGGATGCAACAACGTGGCTACAGGGCAGAGGTTCAGCTGGTAGCCACGGAGCTATTTGGGAAGTTC